TAGGCTCGTTTTCTCAGCCTATTCTATTTAAATCAGAGGCATGTTTAATACTTGGTAGAAATCTCTAACGGCTAAGTAGAGATAAGTAATTAATTACGCAAAAGATGAACATTTGAAAAGCAGAATACTCTGCGTAGCTATTTTGATATATTTTGCTGCATTCATCTTTTCACCCAAAGAATTTAGCTGTTTAAGACGCTCTTCTGTGTAACTTTTTAATGTACCTTTCCCTTTCACATATTTAAGTTATAAATAAAAAAACAACGTATTGCATAAGTTTCTCGCCACTGTTAGGAAAGGTAGAATGCCAGGGGATAATTTCTTTTTTCTTATAAATTTCATTCTACAGCTCAAGTTCAAACTACTCCTGAAAGCCCTAGCCACCTTGTCAATTAGTGGAATGCAATATGCTGATATAAAATATGCTAGAAGTCTGAAAGTTATTTACTTACACTGTACTGTAACATTGACTGTAGCTATAGCTGGTGTCCCCACTCCGTTACTGGCTGTACATTGATACTGGATCATGTTGTCTTCTGTCCCAGGTCTGCTTACATTGACTGTGACCTGTAATGCATGAGAGATCACTTCTGAACTGCCAACCTTGGTCCATGCTATTCTGGGCTTAGGTTTGCCAGATGCAGTACATGTAAAATTCAAGCTCTCTCCCAGAGCAGCAACAGATGTTTTGTTTGATATTTCCGCACACGGAGGAACTGGAACATGAGTAGAACTAGTCAGAGAATTTACGGATAGTGGTGAGAGTAACAGAGAACATCAGTGCTATTTCAAAGGTGATTAAGTTTTTTGTTGTATTTTGTTATGATATAGACACTATTGTTCTGCCGAGAACCAAAGCAAGTGTAGAATTATTATGGCTACTACCGGTTTATTCCAGAATTGATCATGTGGCATATTCTCTATAAGGAATAGCAATATCAAGCAACAATGTTCGAACAGGCCTTTTCAACCTTTGCCAAATAAACTTGGTTTTTTTTGGGATAAATGCCACTTCAAGATATGTTGTGGTAAGCAAGGAAAATGAAATTAATTTTTTTGAACAACTTAATGAAAGAGCCTGATCTGAAAAGTAAATGTTTGATGCTAAGCACTCTTCGCCAACTCGTGGTAGAAAGGGGTTGAAAATAACCAATTTCAATGATAGGCCACAATCTATTGCCGTGTTTTCGCTATTTAAAACCCAATTAGAAGTATTTAGAAGTAACCCACGCGTTGACCAGTTCCATAATCAAGGAATTGAGTATTTTTAAATCAATTAAACGAGAGCTCGAGGATATGAATTTTGGGTCTTAGAACAATATCTCGCGAACTAAAGTACAATAGTTCTCACAAACATGAAACTTGAATCTTAGGTTTTCCTTCAGAACTAGGAAATGATGCTTTTCATTTTCTTACAACAAAATTCACTTTTCGTATATTTTCAAATGAATAAACACATCAACAGAAAAGGGTGGCAGCTTAACTCATGTTGAAGGTCATAACGAAGGACTAAATTTTGTACCTTCCTTACTGTTTGATAAAACGTGTTTCCTATATTATAAATACAAAATCCATAGCACCGACACATGTTTTACTAAACACGCCCTTTGTGATGGAATCAATTCGGAGTAACAATCATAACTACTCTTTCACCAATCAGTGGTCATTAAAATTACTTACCAAGAGTTATTATTGTAATCGCCCTAAAAAGATATCAAGTAGCTAGTGGTTGCAACCACTTGATGAATTATATAGTTAAGCTCCCCAAATTAAGACGAACTGAATACAAAACACTTTAGACCAAAGACAGAGCACAGAGTATATTCATGTCTGAATTTCCTATACTAATAAGAATTAATTATAGTCATACTAGATGGTCCAACTTTCTCTCAAGACACATTTTAGTTCCTGTAAATTAAAGATACAAGGTCACTCACCAACAACAACAAAATTAAGAGTATCATTGCTTCCCGTGCCAAATACGTTTAATGGAACACAAGTGTACACTCCATCGCCTTCAAAAGTGATGTTAAACACTCCAGAGCTGCTGTTGCTAATATAAGTCTCATTTAAATACAGATGATATACAGCGGGTGGGTTTGCATTTGTGACACAGAGAAGTGTCAAGCTGCTGTTCAAAAGTACTGTGGTGTTTTTTGGATTGCTCTCAATGGTAAGATTTGTCATCTTTGGAGCGACTATAAAGTTAAAGACAGGAGGAATTCATGATGGCAACCCAGTGTAGATGTGATGATACAAAATGGCAAATTATTATTGGTTAATTAACTTTCAGAGCATTCCTGTAACCACTATTTTAACAAATAAATGACATTTTAGCCTTAGACCATGCATAGGCAAATTAACACAAAAAACGTGAAGCAGGCCTTGCTTCCTGGGTGAAAACAAGATCAAGTCCAGGTAATATGAATCACTAGGAATTTGCGAAAAACCCTGCGATGATTCGTCCTGAGCATTTGGATAAAGTACTCTTTCAGTTTCAGTTAATGTAAAGTTTAAATTACTCTTACATGTAAAGAAAGTATAAAAGTAATATAAATGGCCCTGTCTAGAAATCTGAAATCATTTAACACCGGCACATTCATTCACCGGCTAATAGCAGCCAATCATTTGAGAAAGATTTGCCAGTTCACCTAACTTTAAAGCAATTCAAAACGAATTTAAAGGGCTTTTGTCTACAAATGCAGAAAACTGCAAACTATAACCAAAATGAATGATTTAAACTTCAACTTTATTCTTCATGCCCACAGCCTGTTGAGATGAGATTAATATCCTCGAAGATGTGTCTCATAAGGTTGTCATTCACTTCGGATTCTATTATCTTGCTTGGAATACTGAGTAGGGAGAATGGGTGATAATTTCCTCGCTCTGTTTTGTCATCTTTTTCGTAAACTGGGCGTGAGCCATGCTATCATCCGAGGAGATAAAATAGTTTTTAGTTTCGCAGCTACACGAACATAGCCTCGTCAAGGCCGAAACAATAGCATTGCCCATGAGTCTCAACAGCTTCGATGCAATGATGTCAGGCACTGAGGACTTGTTGGTATTAAGCACGTTAATTTTGGCTTGAATTGATTGCAGCGAAATTGTGAACCCCTTAAGAAGCGGGGTTCAGTCACAATGTCTAAATTGGAGGCTCGAGACTGGTTTTCATTGGTACTACTTTAAAAACCCCTCATCTTCTGCAAGATGTACCGTAAACCGATGGAGTAGCGTGCTTTATTATCCAACTGCATTGAGAGGAGTGCTATTAACGCGCGAAGAAAGATTTGCCAGTTCATCTTTCAACAAAAGGTTTTTTTTATGGATATAACAGTATTTCATATCATTTTGCAACATAAAAAATAACAAAAACAAAGAAAACAAAGTTTTCGATTCCAACGACCTTTCTTTTTTCTTCTTAGGATGAAGTGATATTAATTATGGATCAACCATTCTGGTCTTGACTACTAAAAGCCTATCATGAAATCGATGATATAAGTTTTAGTTCATTCAAGTGGTTCTTTACTTACATAGAATGTCTAATTCCACCAAAACACTTGTACTCCTTCCATTGTTCGCGATGACATGGTATGTTCCACCATCGGAGATGCGTGCATTCACAATCACCAAAGTTGAATTTTTAGAAATAACATTCCCAGATTGTGACTCCTTGGTCCAAGTAATGTTTGGCTTTGGGTCACCAGTGACAATGCATGGAATGATAGCTTGTTCTCCTTGTGTGACTCTTATTGTCTTTGGACACTGAAGAGTTGGTTGCACTGCCATAATAATAATAAGATACAAATGATTGGTACGTAAGATGATTATTGTCATTCATTATTATGAACAATAAAGATGTAAATGAGAACTGGTACATCGGGAGAAATAACCACACAGATCCTTACAAAGTGAACTATACAACAATGTACGCATGCATTTTCTACACTTTATCTGAGACAAAGGATATCAAAGTTCATCTTATCTAAAATTCAAATAAGGTATGTTACTAAACTACATACCGTCCTCTGAACGCTACTTGACTTAAAAAAGGAATAAATAGAGCCAGGAACTTTATAGGTGATAGATTTGAAAAGGTCGTGAAACAATCCTGACGAGCGCTTTACACATAGGCTGACCGAAGTCCACGAAGAGCAAGAAAAGACTCTGGGACTACTCAGCATAAACTACATTGCAGTGAGCGTAAACATGGGTAGGGAATGTCAATTCACTCAAAGATTAAATTTGCGAATAAAGAGTCGACTCCAAAACAGAAACTAACACATGCAAAAAGAAATGTCCGCAATATTACTCATCAGGACTTTGTTAATTGAAAATATGATGACTTTGACTAGTGACTTTTAACCAGAAATCAAATTCAACGTCGAAAAGTATAAAAAGTTTCCTCCCTCTTCTGAGAGGAAACCCACCGAAGAATTCACACATGAGAGATGTAATTTCAATATGCAATCTTCAGAGCTTTATTCATAACCCTCACAGATTTTGTTCGACTTAGTCAACAATCATAGTGTGGTACGAGTATAAACAGTACAGTTTTCTATTAAAAAGATCACACTTGCTTTACGTTAAAGTCAAAAGTCAATACAACAGAATTTTGTTCGTATCTTGCTCACAAGACTATGGGGTTGGCAGCCACGCTGTTGTGTGTTCTCTTTTTCCTCGTTTATATTTCCTCATTTTGCATTCAAGAACGTCGTAATTATGACATAACTTGCATATATAGTATGCTGTCTCGTGCTGCTTGCATTAGTAACGATACACTACTACTAGGAAAAGCTTATTCCTAGTAATTTCAAAATCGTTCCCCTTTCTACTACAGGGAGCAGTGAAGTCGTATTTGGCCATAATTTCCGCAAAAAATTGCCCAACCACGTGGGTTTAATGCTAAGACATGCGCATAAATGTTTTGGCCCGACTCAGACTCATTTTAGCCCAGGCCGCCAGGCGAAGGTTAAAAATTAACTCCGAGAAGGACCCAAAACATATTCATCCCCAGGAAAATAAACTCAAATACTATTATTATCACTTTGGAGGGCATTGAAAAAACAAAAACTGAAAAAAGAAAAAAAAAATTACAAATCAGTCTAAACAATTACGCGAGCGTCTACAAGTTAAATGGCTTTTAAATTTCTCTAATGAAAATATACCATCAAGCGAAGCTAGCAAGAAGTACGATGAATAGCAGCTCGAAAAGCTGTTAAGGCTCTTGGTTTGAAATATGTTTTCTGCTGATTTTTCACCTTGGCATAAAATCTTGCATAATTTTCTTCAGTTCAGCAGGGCTTACAGTGTAAAGATCACAGTTTGTCTTTCGCTCTTCTAGCCATTGAGTAAACTTCTTCAAACCCTAAAAGGTCTTTTTAAGTCAATTACAGAAAAACACACCTGTATTTTTAAGTGAATTACCTTTTTCTTAAAATGAGGAAATCATCCTTAATCATCGAGGAGCAAAGAGAGAACTTGTACATATGACTGTCATGGAGAGGCCTTACATTTGCCTTCCAAGCAATGATATCAAATAAAGATAGATTACCATCCCTTCACGGTTATCTTACCTCTAACTTCCAGGCTAAAGTTTCGTGAAATGCGACGATCACCCAACGTCAGAAAGCGCACTGTGAATTTGTAAACACCTTCATCTTCCTTAGCAACCTCATTAATTACCAATGTGGCCTCCTCTGATCTGCTTATGGTGATGTGTGGTGCGAAATCTTCAACATAAGCCACTGACTGGCCAGTAATAAAGTTTTTCGATGCAACAGACTCACGATGTGACTCGTTGCCTCGTTCCCAAATCCTGATAAAGGCAATTTTTGCAGCATTCTGTTCTTCTGTAGTCAGACTGTAATCCCACTTTAAAGCAACTGTTGAACCATTCCAAACACGAGTCACCGGGTCAGGATACTTGGTCCATGTTAAACAATCTCTCAAACGGAATAAAAGCCTAAATTTAGTCTTGCTTCACTAATTACAAAGATCATTTTCTTCTTTAATAAAGATGAAAAACCATAATCTACTTTGAGCTTGATTTAATAATTCTTAATTAAATAGTATATATAGAAGTCATTTAACAAGCTAATTTTGTTCGACGAACTTTCACGTTAGATATACATGTACAGCATGTCAGTGCCACTCCATTTGTCTCATTTTCTGTGCGTGCATTCATTGAAAACACAACTGCAGTATCGGCTCTTTTCACGATACTTTGCGTCTCATTATGGTAAAGAAACAAGTTTATCTGGCCAATATATTCCTTACAATTTTTTTTTTAAACCCACTGCCTTTGGGTGCTATGTAAGTGCAATCGGTAACTTTGAGGGTGATAACGTTTAATAATTGCGCATGCTGATCCTCATGTTCTCTCTCTTCATTATATCGGCAATTTCAGGTATACAGATTCAGTTTAGTCCAAGTTCTCGAGGAAAATGGAAGCGGTTCTTTTTATGAGGGGGAAAAATATTAGGGGTAATTCTAAACGAGCTAAAATGATCAATATTGCAGAGTGCTGGCTGCACTGCCATAATTTTAATATAGCAGCCTGCTTGCGGCAGTCTTTTTAATATTGCAACGGGCTCGTTATAAACTGCTTTGTTATTACCTCGTTACTTTTTTGCTCAGTAATTTGTGGAAATTCTTGGATACCATCATATATTGTACTTCACTGAGATTCAGTTTAGTCCAAGTTTCTGGGGAAAACGGAGGCAGTCCTTTTATCAGGAGGAAAATTATTAGGGATAATCTTAAACGAGGTAAAATGCTCAATATCGCAGAGCGCTGGCTGCATTGCAATAATTTTAATGTTGCAGCCTGCAATGGTGGCAATGTTTTCAATAATGCAACGGGCTCGCCACAAACTGCTTTGTTATTACCTTGTTACTTTTTCGCTAAGTAATTTGTGGAAATTCATGGATGCTATCATGTATTCTACATCTGAACTCTGAACATAAATCACATGAAGAGCAATTCAGGAAGACGTACAAATGCAAATATTTTTAAAGACTAATTAGTGCATACCTTACAGAGACAAAGTTTCTTACCTTCTTGAAATATAAAATCTTAGTACTAATAGTACTAATTACAACTGGCTGATTATGATCTACGTTCTTTGCCCATTTTCAATATCGTACGTCTAATACCCAACTTTTTTCAAACTTCCTATAATCAAATGACGTAATTGGTTTTCTGAATCTTTGCAACTCTGAAGATGGAGAAATAAAAGGCAGCCTTTTCTTAGTCGTTTAAAAATGAGAGGAAAGACTTTGCGTTATGAAAATTGCAGAGTCGTCTTCAGAAGAATCCTCCATGCAGCTTCAAAATAGGAATGTGTAAGCCAAGGAATGCCCTCCAACAAACAACTCAAAATGACCAAATACATTGCGTTATATACTATGCAAATGCCATTTCGTCATGTACATGAAATTCATTAACACAATTCTTACATGCAGGTAAAATGAGAAAATTCTCTGGACAGGTAGGGAAAGATACATCATCTTAACAAGGTGTTTACAATGATTAGATAGGGCAATGAAAAAGGATTTCGCAATTTTTATTACTATTCTATAATATATACAAATTTTTTCTTGGTGTACCAAAAAGGTCAGTGAGGGAGCGACTGAAATCGTTGATGTAAAGAGGAAAGAGAAAAAGAGCATTTTATGAAGGTCATCGAATTTAATAAATAATTACTTCGGCTCACATTATTAATAGATAAAAAGCTGACCCCAGTACTTATCTATTAAATCGCACCAAGGGCCGACATTTCCCCACCCTTGGACTGAGCGTTGTCCCAAAGAGTCCCATGAAACGTGAAGAGTATTTTTGCTCTTCCACAGATGTAACGAGTCCGGCTATTCAGTTATCATTTTTGAGTGCGTGGAAAGCGTGGTGAAAACGATGTACAATTTAATCGCCCCACACGAGAGAAGAGAAATGAACATTTCAAACTTTTTCACACACTCATGTCGAAGAGTTTGCCTCAACAGAAATAGTAGAGATAGCAATATGCCTGTTCATAAAGGTTATGGCAGGCGTTATCATAAAGCTCAAGAGTATTGTTCAATTTATATTGATCATGAATTGAAGGTTTGTTTTCCGAATTATTTACGCTTACGGCTTTCAAAAGTTTAAAGCAAAATTAGCGGATAAGGAGACCAGAGCGAAAGATTAAGTACAGAGCTAGCCTCGGAAGTGAAACAAGTTAAGATCAATCTTCTTAGGACTCTAACCTGTCAGCGCCTAAGTGTAACACTAACAGATATGAATGCTTTCAATACGACGCAGAAACTAAATTGATTTTAAATTGAGTCATGGATCTCAAGTAAAGTTTGTCTCTTAATAAGATATTTAGGTGACAGCAATCAATACATTCTTCAGAGAGAATTAGTTAATGAAACTGTTATTGTGTATCACACATTTTCTTCCAGCCGATGTTCGCTTGTTTACTTTGCATCGTGCTTATTTCGCTCAGAATTACAATTTTTTAAAGGAACAGTGTCACGGTGACTCATGCGCTGTGACGTGCACCTGGGTGTCAAGGCATTGGAGAGATCTGCTTTAAAACTCGCTATGTAATTCTAGGCAGTCTTTGAAGGCTGACAGTAAGGACAATGGTAAAGACTGTTCGCATTCATTTCCATTTTACGTGAAGAGGAAGATTTGTGAAAAATTCGTAAAGGAAGCTACGCAGAGAACATAAAAGTACAAACCAAACAACCGCCATCTTGGAAAATGTGAGTTCTGTTACAATGTGCTGAGCCTGATAATTTAAGCAATTTGTTCTGAATTTTTTACATAAGTTATCTGAACGGTTTTTGAGATTCATGTTGTTGGTATGAGTGGATATAATTCTACCATAAAATCTTCAACGCGCACAACATATTGTTGTTTAGTGTTTGTGTGATTAATTTGTGGTGAAATACAAGATGTTTGCAGCTCAACTCCTGAGACACAATGTACAACGAAAATTAAATACCTTGGCTTTTAACCACAACAGAAAGTTAACTTTAATCAGCTACTAGCCCGTTATTATCATCCATCTGCTCAAAGTAGAGTACAAAAAACGCGCGAATAGGTACAAATATCCTGCAATATTGTAAGGTTATTTAGACAGTTGTTTATTTTATACTATAAAACAAAAAACCTGTTTAACCAGTCTGCTGCGCGCGCTACGCTTCTCTATCCGCTTTCCTTTTCCCGCCCTCCTAGAAATGGACAGAAAGACTTAGCAGAAAAATAAGCACTCATAAAAATACTCAGCGATACTACTGCACACTAAAGCGTCTGATAAGATGTATATATTAGCAGATCAGATTATCGAGCGACCATTCTGCATTAAGCAGAAAAAAAACTTTAAAAAAACATTAATATAATGACAAAGGTCAGTAAAGTGTTTTCTTTGTGCTCAAATCTTAATTAGTATCCACTTATCTAGCATACTTTATGTATGGTTGTCTTGTGTGCGTGAATAACTACGAAAATCCGTCATTTCATCTTCTCAGTTTAAAAAAAAACGGCAGTCAGAATAATTAAAAATTCTCCTTTACGAGATCACATTACACTTCATTATATTGACTTTGGTTTTTTAAAATTTCGTGCCTCTCTCCATTCCTTCTTTGTTTTATATTTTTTTTTCTTGCACGTATTTTTTCTAATGAGCTTCTAAACTTGTAGTTGCTAGAAAGCTATTTTAAGATGACGGAGAGAAATCAGTACAAAAAAATGTGCAATTTCATTTGAACGCACTATTTCATTTGTAATTAATACTTTTAAGACCAATTAGTTCGAAATCCAAGACAGCAGACGATTGAAATATTTCTTTGACTTGATGTGGTTTATGCGCGTGCCCACCGCGACTCTGCCTCTTTAAAATTAATTCATGCAAAAGCATACAAACCATAACGGAGTCGATGCGTTAAGCAACCTCAATTTCAATGGATGGTAAACTTTGGAAGGTGCCCACTTATCTCTGAGTACTAACAATTGATGAAGAAAATTCCCTGGGTGTCAATTGGTATTTAAGGGGAATTCACGATCAATGGTTTTTGTTATACGAATAGAATTGCTGTAGTAGTACCAAGGTTCACCAATGCCTTAAACCATATACGCTTAACATATGATATGAACAAGAACAGCAAAGTTTGACATTTTAAAGATAGTCTGTATAATGAGCCAAAGAAGACAATTTGGTAATGTTCTACTTTCGGTAAAAAGTGAAAGATAAAATGACAAGACTTGAAGCTGTACGTAATTAAATGCCATAAACAAAGGTTTCATTACAACTGCGAGATTTCGGTCACGCAGGTGCGACGACCTCGTTATATATGGCTATTTCACGATGAATGGACGAGCTTTGATTGTAAGTATCAATTCCCAGACTTCCAAACCGACTTCGATGTTTTGTATAGTCTAACAACGAGTCAACTGACCATATTACAGCTAAATCATCCGTCACTTCCGCAACAAAGCGGAGAGCGCATTGCTTGCGTCTACAAACAATGCATTGTGAGACTACGTCCGCAGCCTTCTTTCGATAACAAGGCTGCACGTCATCACAAACCCCTTCGTCATGTCTCTCATTTAGAGTGAAAAAATTCAAGCGACTTACCTACAACAACAGTTACAAAAGCAACGACAAAGTAACTCGAAAATCTGAAGACCATCTTCTGGATGTAAGCAGGACTGATACTATTGCGTGACATTGGAAATTAAGGATACGCATCGCCTGTTTTGACCATTCAGCTTACGGCTACAAGAGAGAAACAGCAAAACATATTCACGCTTGCTTCTTTGTTTACAGACACTGAAAGTGACAAGCAAGGATATCAAGGATAATGACAATAGAGAGAAGACAACGTTTACAGCTTAAGGAGAGGAGACTGATATCAAAATGCGATCGAACCATACAACATCGCTCGCGTAAAGTTTTATGTTAGGAACGGGTAGGGGGGAACGAACCGGAAAAAAAAGAGAATAAAGTAACCTAAATTGATGAATTGGTGAATAAATAAATAGATACAGAAAGAAAGAAACAAAGAAAATGAAAATTTCATTGTTCCTAAATAATAAAAGTTATGAACAAGGTAGACGCGTAGGTGATTTACTACACAAACTTTGATAAGCAATGCCTTGTTTTTTATCCAAGTTCAGGCTCGGTTACGAATCCTGAAATCTGAGCACGATTGGTTCATGGCGCGGTCGAGATTATCATTATTATTACCATAATTATTACAATCATAAATTATGATGAACGGCATGCACCACATATAACAGCTGAGTTTTATGCGACATGTGTGAGAAAATATTTAATTATTTTTAATATTTAATACTTCAACGTAATTTTTTTGCAATTTCTTGAAAAACTAAAGGGGAAAGATTCCCAAAATTTACTGCACAAGACAATTTTGCTTAAAATCATAATAGCGAATATTTTCTTCCTTTTATTTACAGCTAAACCTGCTACAACAACCTGCGTCACAAATCTATCAGTTGATGGCGTCTTTGAAGTGTACGGGAAGCCGTGTCCTGTCCAAAGTGGAGATCAATTCTGTGGATTCGTACATAATGACAGTTCAGCTGATAAATGTGAAATCTTCACTTGGTGTGGAGTACAGTCTACGACGTTGCAGATAAGAGAAATTTTGACGTAGCTTACTTCAGGTTCGTTTTCTATTCGAAGACATATATAGGAGCTAAGAACTGTGCAACAAAAACAGGATCTAGCAGAAGATAAGAAAAAGAGAAGATAAAAAAAGCACTATTTGAGATGATATAATGAAATGATAGCATTTTCCGTTCTTTACCGCAATAGAGAGACAAACCAGATTTATGTTGATGTAAAGTTCTTTACTATTTTTTTGATGTATGTGCATGATTTGGACATGTATATTGAACTCTGTTACAGTTATAATTTATTGCATTCAGGAGTATCCATGAAGAACAAAAGTTAATCGAAGGCTGATGGCGAGAACGAGCCTCATAAAATCTTACAGGTTTGAAAAAATTTGCCAATTGCCTTGACAACGCAGACTGCAAGGGGGCGCAAGTTGCTGCGGGTAAAGAAACAGCAATCTCCTTTCTCCCCATTCCCAATCTCTTGCCATGCGCGTCATGTAGATGATTGGGAAGGAGTCATAAAATAGTCTGAAACTACATCGTCGGTATTCACGTGAACTGAATATGAGCTGCTGTTAGAGGAAGTTCGACATGAAAGCTGTTCTTGGGGCTGCTCTCTTCAAAACAATCTACAACTAAAAACTATTCGTGGTCGCTCACTTTGTCCCGCGCTTAAGTCATTGTGCCCTTGAATAATTTTTCTCTCTTTTTTTTAATTTTCGTCGTGAATTCTTCAGTAGGTTTTGGGTTTGCAGCACTCAGCAGAGATGTGGTTAACCTCTGTATTTCTTCCACAGGCCTTATGTAAATGAAAGGAGGCTGGAGATGAGAGCAAGCTCTTGTCCTACTAGTGCTACAAGAGGTCCAGTCTGGTTAACTGTTCGTGTTATGTTCAATTCAAATGAGACTGCCGATATCTATTTCCAAAACGACCTTGTGACGCAAGGGACGCCGTAATTTGGCATAGATGGAACACCATGTAGGTGATGCACCAGGTATTGGAAGCATGTGACATATGAAAAGTAAACGAGTGACTAGTAACAAGTGCTGTACTTGGCGATTCATGACAAGTAATGTAAGATTAACAATGTTAGTAATACAATCAACCTTCTTTGTTACTACATTTAGAACTCTAAGCATTGTAAGTGCTGCTCCGTGTTTTTGGTATCATAATGAAAAAACAAAAAATTTGAGGGAAGATGTTTCTCAGTGGTTGAAACAGGCGGGTCACCCCACCTATCATGTAAACGTGATCAAGATAAAATAAGAGATTATATGGACTGGTGGGTTACCCCACATTGGGGTCCCCTACATCTATGTAAAAAGGCCCTTAATTCGTTCTCATTACCAGCTAAGAGTTCTTCCATCTCAGCCGCTTGTTAAATTGTAGACAAAGGTTCTTGGTGTTCCAGTTGACCATCATCTCTCTTGGGGTAGCCATATTCAAAAGGTGGCGGTCCAGAAAGTCAGTTCAGGAATAAGATCGGAGCCGTAAATTGGGCTCGGCATTTTGTAGTTAATATCGATAATATATTAATCCAACCAAATCTCAATAACTGCAGTGAGGTTGGAAAAGATCACTTGATAGGCTACAAAAGTTGTAAACTAGGTCTAACATACTTAAAATGTTCAACGATACTCATCTGTCGGAGGCTGGGAAACTTTTAAGCAAAGTTCATGTTGCACGGATCCCTAACAATTTAATTGACTTTTACTGCTTTCTTTTCCAAAGTGCAGATCAACATTGGGGACACATACGCAATAACACTTTAAATGATGAATGTGGCATCGATCCAAGGAGCACATACAGGACATCTTGAAGTACTGTACAACGCTATTGACAAATGAGGACAATTTTGACTTTATTTCTGTTTTTTTTACTTGTGCAGATGCATGTGAAAGAATACTTAGTCAAGGAGGAATCGAATCTTTGAGATTCGAGTCTTATTCTCTACCACTGAGCTGAAGAAGACTCGATAATGAGCCATATTCATTCTAGCATCCTGTTTACGTATCTGACACTTTCGACGTTGCTTATCCTTTCCGCATACCGGCCGCTTGTCAAAGACAGCAAAGACATAAAAAGCAGCAGCAAAGACATAAAAAATGCCATAATATTATTGAATTTTTAATCCCCGGATTTCCTAATTGGTTTACTCATCTCAGGTTATCAGTTCATCTTCCGGGTCACCACGTTCGGAAGTGCCTTGTGACGCGTTGGAAACTGAAAATTTTTGCTGAAAACATTCAAACGTCCAGGATTTCATGAAATTTAATAAAATAATTAAACCATTTGTGCTTATTGAATGCGAGATTGGTTATAGCCACTCGGTGCTACGCGCCTCGTTGGCTAATTATCATCTCATCTCCATCGCGCACTCATGGAACAATGTTGAATATTCATATAACTTTAATGGCTATAATCCTCACAAGGATGGAAACGGGACAACGGGAAAGAAAGGCATGATATAGTGACCAGTGTTTGAAAATTGATTTTACACCTGAAGGAAATTTTATGTTCGTAAAATGGTGTGTTTGAGGAATATACAAAAAACAAACAAACAGTCATAAAAGGAAATGGAAGCAAAACCTTATATGGTCAGTCATTATTTCCATTTAAGTGTTTCACAATCGTTCGTCTAAATTATAGATTAATCAAATTAATCAGTATTTTGAAATCCTTTTTCTTTGGCCAACTGACTGACTGACTGTCTGATTGACTGGCTAGCTCTCTGATTAACAGACAGATTGATTGGTTAGCTGACCGGCTGGCTAATTGACTGACAGGCTGGCTACCTGTGAACATCCTCATGAACAACGCCTTGGTGACGTTTTTGACAGCTTTTCATAGCACAAGAGGCCGCAGAGGATAATTTGTTGGTTGCTTACGGTTTCGCGACTATCACCGATTGTAAGGACTACACGTTGACTTGAGGGTCTAATTCCAAGAAACCACTACTTGACCTCTGTGTTTAGTGATGTTTGCCCAGATTGGACTCCATGACACGCACCTGACACATTCTGCTGCATGTAGCGGTTTACTGTATTTATCATTTGGGTCTTATGCATGTCAAAGATATTTGCATCACGATACATATTTGCGAAGCGCCCACAAAAAGAAGCTCCTTCGCCTATAGGGAAAATCACAAGCCCAGAAAGCTAACATGAGGGCATTGTCAACCTTTGCTGAATGGCTGAGAAAGCCAGGTTCAAGAGACTTTAAAAAAGAATCGAAAACAAATTTTGCACCAATTTCATCCGACTAATGATCTGAAAAGTTATACGTACACTTCTAGAGCTAAATGAAATTTTTGTAAACCCCCCAAAAAAGTGTATTTAAATTATCCCACGATAAGTTGCAAGTAATGGAGTGAATAAAAAATCTGAAACGTTAATTGCCCTCTGCTCGGACCTTCTCATTGCTTGGAACCTTCCTTTATCTCCGTCACTACGTTTATACTTACTAAACTGGCTTGGACAAAGTCTGTTGTCATTGGTAACACTTCCTCCATTCCTTACATCCAATTGTCGCTATGACGTCACTGCTCCTAACTTGCACTCACAGACAGATTTGTTGGGACACCCACTACCCCTCTTACCTCCCTTATTGTTTGTCAGTAAGATCCAATGAAAACATTGCGAATTAATAAAATGTGAAGGGGAGGTGGGCGAAAGAACATCATAATCGTCAGTCTGAAGGAGTGTCGCATCTTACTCTGTCTGAGTGTGTAAGCTGTTTATAAATGTTTGAAATCAATGATTCTTGTCATTGCCATGAATCCTTTCGATCAACTCCTACTCTAACCACGGATGATATGGAGCACAATTAGGTCTAATAATTTAGTACTGTCTCAGCTGTCGTGGTGAAACAGAATTCTTTGACCATATTTTTCATTTTGTGACTGAAAGATTGATTTTTTGTTACTAATACAGCGATTGGCAACGCCAAATTTAAACAATCAAACAGAGTTGATAATATCAACCTCACTTCAGACACTTGTGGTAAGAAAGTTCAAACTTTGCCCTCTTTTATAACAATGAAAAATACAATAGTGTTGCGTTGGCAATTCGATTGGTCCGCAGAATGACTAAGCAAAATAAAGGAATCACAGTTAGATTGCTGCTTTGAACGGTCATGACAACATTATCCCACCGAAGCGTATAACTTAATACTTTGTGAACGATATGCCGCGCAAAAGCCTTGCTGATAATTGTTGTTAAGTATAATCACAGGCGGCCCAAGCTCACGTCTCGAGAAAAAGCCAACGATTAATTCACGGAAGCGCTACGCGTTGTGTGACTAGGTGTTAAGTTACGAGAGGAACCGCTGAAAATTTGAACATGTTATAAGGAATAGTATGGTCGATTTACAACGATAAATATTTCGAAATATGGACATTTTACGCGTAAAATCAATAAAACGTACTCACATCCTGTGTGTCCGTTGTAGTTTCTGGCGATTTCTGCTGTTCTGAGCTTGCTTTACCATCACTTTATTCATGTCAAAAGACATGAGGTTACTATTGTGGTAGTCTTTGCCCGCACGCTGAGCTTCCTGATTGTCGTCTGTTTTGTCTAATTGTTTGATTATTTTCTTTCAGTACTGAGTTGGTCGTGTTCGGTACTTGAGTAAACGTCTTTTCAAAACAGTTTAGGTTTAACTGATCATTGGGTAGTCCTTATGTGAGTCTTTTGCTCAAGAGCCTTTAGGACCGAACACGAAGTTTTTCCCCTTTGTAGTCTATGGAGCTTGAATTGTAACTCGAACAACGACTTCCGTAGATGTTAGCGTTTGGGTTTGTTTACTGACCTTGGTCAGGACCAGCACCAAACTTCTTTTTTTGATATTAGAGTATTTAGAGAATATCAAGTACTTTGTTGTTTAATTTAACAAGTGTTGTGAAAGTATTTGGAGAAGAGGTGTGTGTAATCCTCCAGAGTCAGTCGGCCCATAGCTTAAACATGCTCACCAATAGAGTGCTCATGTCCTGAACAGATTATATTTCAGAATCATTACTACTATTCGAATGTACAATATCAACAGAAATTATTATACTACTATAAACCCTAAAATTTACGCCTATTCTGAGAGAAAGTGCCTCCCCTTTCGGCCAAGACAGATCTTGGTTCTCTCCGCCTTTTTTTCCTTTTGGATTTTTCAATCGCATCTAGCTGGTTATCTATTTTTATTTGTTTGTTTTGCTTTCTCCTGCTGTTTCATACGTGGTTGTCAGCCCACTAAAAGCTCTCCATTGCAAAGTAGAGAGTCAAAAATGAAAGGAATAAACATAATAGTCAGGGTGAGGAAGTTTTAGCCAGGAGATAAAGACCGCAAAGACCACCTGGAGAGACAATGCAGGGGTCACTCATCTGATAATGTTTGATAAAACGGCTGTCGCTAAGCATTCAGCCACACAAGTTAGTTTCCATAACGTGAGCAAAGCTCGTCCAGTTTAAAAATGGAAAAGCGTTTGGAACAAAGCAGATATGAGGCAGTTTTGTCCTAGTCACTTCTCGCAAACAATGCACGTGAATAAAAAAGACAATGACAATTTAATCGATTGCCAATGCCGAAAAAAGAAAGATCTTCTCAATGCAAAACAGCCATTTGCCTTCCTTTTTAGCCATTTCACTTTCATCACTTCATATCCACACCCAAAACCACTTTTACTGAAATAATATTTGTCTTGGATCTTAACACCTACGCTATTTCCTGCCATGGCTCTGCTCAGTGACATATGGATATCACTTTCCTTTAGAGATAAGCTGTCAGGGACATCCGCTAATTCAAGTCATCTAAAGCAACTAAAAATAAATGACTGTTAAACTGTAGCGCATAAATCAACAGGAATTTACCCGATTAATCCGTTTTAACAGCTTTTTACACCGACAGACCAATAAGAGTGAGTATAAGCTACGTTTTAATCTCAGTTTATCATTTGTATAAACACCGCAAAGGTAAGGAGAATTTGTACTTTGTCACTGAACCAGTAAAGGTGCTTCTAATTTCATGCTTGATTAGGCGCGACATAATTTCTTCCGTTGTGAACAGTTTGGCAAAAAATACATCTCGGCTGTTCGCCGAACAGGCATGGAGAAGGTTGTCGATAGGCTGAGTTACGAAGCCAGTTCCGTTGTCCTCTGAGATGCAGTTCCCAGTGGTAAGAGCAACGATTAAATTTTCGCCCCCTGAGCAGGACAGGAGGCAAAATACAGGAAGTCTGTTTGTTGTGAAAGAAGTGAAATCCGCGAACCAACGACAGCAGAGTTATGGTGGGTCGAAAGTCGTAGAAGTCAGTGTTCCCCGGGAAGAACTAAAATCGAGGGTCTACCATGGAAATAAGTCTCCGTTGTCAAGTGTTCCGCTGATCGAGCTCAATATCAACAGAACTGGATTTCAGGTACGAAGTTTAGTCTGAAATGTTGTAAACATGCGAGAGTGAGCTTCAGAAATGAGAAATACACTGTCACACAATATTCTTAATGATTTGTGGCTTGCTGGGATGATATTCTGCTGCTGCACTTGAGATGATCGCAAAATCCTTTCCCTTGAAAGCTTTTAGGCTTCAAGTGATGCAAGCATACAATCTGATAATACGAGAATAACGCTCCTATGTGAAGGAACAAACTTCTTCTTGCGCGTGTACCATGTTTTGTTTATACTATTGGTTTGTTTTGTCGCATCAGTTACAGTTTGTTAAATATCCGAGCAGAGCAGACTGTGAATAACTTTAAAAGTGTCCTGCTTTGCGAAGGATTTCAAATTTACTGAAATGTCTCGTGATGTTTAAATATTTTGTTTAATGAAACTGCAAGGGGGTAATCGTGTTTGTTTAAACATGATTGAAGGCAATGAACAAAGGACGGTAGCCGAGAGTTTTTTTCAAATTTTAAAAAAACAGATATGAAAACCAAAAGAATGCAAGTTGCTCTTCATGTCAAACTTTTGCATACTGCGTATTTCTCTCTTTGGAATCCAACAGTAATTTTCATATTTTGAGAAAGAATGAGACACCTCTCGCAATGTTAGCCGGAAAGACACAAAAGATAATTTGGCTTATGGATTGATAGACGAACTAATTGACTTGAGACCAGGGTTTATTTGTGAATATTTTACTTGAAACACAATACTACAAAACTAAATAAACGAGGTTTGAAAATGTTAGAATAAGCCTTATCGAACTGGAAACATTCAGCGTTTGTTGTGACAGTCGTGATTTTACGGTTTCCTATTGCTCGACCACTGCGCGTCACACTTAGCGTTTTTATTTCATTACCATAAAAAGAAATTTTTTGAAAGGAATTAAGCTAATTATGTCTTTGTCAGGTGAATTTTTCTTTTTGATGTCAGAAAACCAGAATTAATCTACGAAACAAAAGCATCTCGACTTGAAAGCACAAAAGTCATTGTTCTTTTAGTTCAGTTTTTGAGAGATGCATGTAATTTAATTAAAATGGGTTTTTTCTCACAGCTTAAATAATTTAGCCACTTATGGATCTCTCTGTGCACTAAGCACGCGATAAAAACGATCAAGCGTAATTGCATTTTTCACGGTACAACGAGCTGCAGGCAAAGAGCTGTTAGAATAGGTCAGATGACGAGCCTGAATTGACTGATTTTGACGGGTTAGAAAAATGGACACAGAGAAAAAGCATTACTACCTTGACGCAATCCGCTCATGTTGTTACACTGCATTTTTTGCCTTGAAACACAGGCAGTTTGTTCCCCAATAGGCTGTATAGGCATGTGTAGCGCTAAGCTTACGGATGTCAAATCTTTGACGTGTTGCATGGGCCTTTTGAGTTGGCTGTATTCTAACTTGTGACTTCGCATACTCCTTTTTGATTGATTGATAATATATATTATAAACAAATGTGAATATATGAAAGTCATACATTTGAACTGCGGATAAAGACGTGAATATGAAAGCGATCTTCGCAGCAATGAACACTCGAGCAGTAGTGTTCATTGCTGCGAAGATCGCTTTCATATTCACCTCTTTATCCGCAGTTCAAATGTATGACTTTCATATATTCACAGTCGTTTATTCACCACTTCACGGGTTTATTTGGAACCAACTTAAGCTTGTTAGCTC